GAGAGAGAGAGAGAGAGAGAGAGAGAGAGAGAGAGAGAGAGAGAGAGAGAGAGAGAGAGAGAGAGAGAGAGAGAGAGAGAGAGAGAGAGAGAGAATATAGGGAGCTTGACAATCTATCCAGCATAGATTGGCTCAGATAGATGAAAAACACACATCAGTAAAGAGTATATATTAGTAAATCAATAGTTTAGTTAGGAAAAGACTTATGCATGTTTATGCTTTCATTTTTATTAATTTTAACAAAGGCTTTACTGTACAACACTGACAATAAAATTAGTAAAACATGGTGAAAGAATTTATTTCAACATTATTTAGGTCAAGTTTGACAGAGGCATACTTATAGTGATTTGTTTTATTGTAAGTAAAATATTCTTTATATTCATATTCCAGCATTTTTTTTATCTACATGCTTATTTCAGCCAAACTTGAGGAAGCATATGGGTGTAAAAAGTAAATTTTGCCAGATATCACATGCCACAATGCCCCTTTCTTCTAATTCCAGTGCCCTGCCCCAAGGGTGCAATAACAGTTTATTACACCTATCCTCGCTTTATGACCCTTCCCTACCTCTGCCCGCTCCCCTCTAGCCCACGCTAACTGTTATTGAAAACACCCAGGTCTGCCGTATATCATTCTTGAGCACCACAGCATGCTCCGTGTAACACAGCCAATCAGCACCTGTTCATATGGGTAATGTCCAGGTCACGTTGGAATGGCTCCACTTGTCTAATATCTGCTTAGATGTGGAAGTGTTTAAAAAACAATCCTGTTTGTCTTTACAGCTTGTGTTGCTCCAAGGCTGATTCATCTTTTGGCGCATGTATTTGTTGTTTAGCAGGAAAGTGAAAAYCAAATGGAATTAGTGTTCTGTTTTTTTTTTCCTCATTATGCGTGTGGGAAGGTAAATATGTTTGGCCTATATTACGTCAAGCACAAGAGTAGAGTGCACTGTACATTACTGGGAGCTCAGCATAGCTCACGGGTTTAGATGAAAATGCAAAGCGCTGGTAAAGATCTTTCATGGTGGAGGTGTTCGGAGAGAAGGGTAACAGCTCATGGGTGACAGTGTGACAAGACTCAGGGAGGGACCRGTCACCCTTCTTCCACAGTGATAGCTTCTCTGTCAGCAAGAGATGGGAGAAGCCACACRGCCACGGTAATACAAATTTTACTTTTGCATCAGAAGAATGAATAGCGTTCTCCAAATATAGCTTGCAATTTAGGGATTTTACTAAATAAGCTTTGGAGAAAATTGGAGAGACACTGAATTAAAATAAATTATTACATACATATCTTTAGGTATGCATAATTTGGCTGTTGCAATTGCAAACGTATTGCAGTTCCCTAAAAAATTGTCATCTTTCTTTGCAGCAAAGAATAAATGTGTGTGCTTTTATGCAAGGTTAGGTAACACCAGATGATTGGGCAGATGGCTTGTGTTGTCTTGGGTGTGCAAGTTGTCTGATGTGTGGAGATGGTTCTATTTAATTACATATCAAGTGAGCAGCCCGGTTTGTCATTAAAGAGTTCTGGACTGTCAAGGCCTGATGGAGTGAAGACTTGAGTTGCAATCGAGCCTTTCATTTTTGTCACTATCTATGAACTTGCTTTTCTGCACTAAATGTCTAAAATGTACATTTATTGATTACGTGCATTTGGCTATGATGAATTAATTTTTTATCCCAATTTCTAAACACAATTCAGATTTGTTAAGTCTAGCTGTATTAACACAGTTTCATTTCTTTGTGCTTGTCTTGTATCTTGCAGTATGTGCGGGCACAGAGAACAAGCTAAGCACTCTGTCGGACCTGGAGCAGCAGTATCGCACCTTGAGGAAATACTACGAGAACTGTGAAGTCGTAATGGGCAACCTTGAGATCACGAGCATAGATCGCAGTCGGGATCTCACCTTCCTCAGAGTAAGAAAAGAGCAAACTAATGAAGTGAACTAAAGATTCTGATGTATGTATAAACATAGTGTACATTTGTGTAAAACTGACATTTAGAATTTTGGCTTATTTATTTACATATATTTTTTTATTTATTATATCTTTTTCAGACATGTAATACACTAAATAACATAATAAATCTCAGGATCACCTTAAAATAAGGTTTTAGTATAATAATCCCCACAAATAGTCCAAATTACCTTGCATGAGTCTTGTCATTGATTCGTCAAAGTTTGAGTTAGTACATTTGCACACGACTGGAGATTGAATGAACAGTTGCACAAAGTTCCACTTTTTATGAAAAAAAAAACTTGTAAACTCTCTCATCAGTGCCTTCTCGATGACCTTCTTGCCCAAAGAATACCAATTGCTTGGATTTTTTTTCCTCACCAATCAGAGCTTGGATTAGTGTCTATAGATCAATTGATAAGCAGAGAGGAACATTGTTCTAATCAGGGCTAATCAGCCTTTTCCTCAGTGTCTGATTAAATTCTTACACAGTTGGCATAAGCACAGAATAGTAAAATTCCAAATGTCTTGTAACTGTAATTTATTCTTGGAGTGAACACGAATGACAGAACAACAGACATCATAGCAAATAACATTCATTTATTTATTACTTAGAAAACCTTTTTAAGGGTAATGTTTATTCCTAAAATGAATTGAATTCTAAACTGAACTAGTTCCAAAGCCTTTCTAAGATAAATGACAGTGGGGTAAGGCAAGGCAAACTCGGTAACTGTACTTATTAGATGAGAAACTGAGGTTGAATCGCCTTTATTGTCATGAAACGGAGCTGAAAAACAGGTAGTTTGGCCAAAACAACAAGACATATTGTTTGGATTTCAGCCTGATCATTTATACCTTTGAACCTTGCTTGCACATTACATTTATTATAGTTAAATAAACACAAAAAATTGTGTGATCACAGCCATGCATTTGTCTGAGGCCAGAGTAGTAATAGTCTTGTAATAACAGGTTGTGAGGCCATTGCAGGGAAATTTCTTTAGGGGGGGAAAAGGCTTTTTTTCAGGAAATCAACTGACCTATATCAGACCTACACATCTAACAAACATAACCCTAGTCTATGCTGGTTGTGCTCTGCACTGCTAACACCATCCAACTCCAATTGATTTCAGTCTATCTGGGGGGCATGAGAGCTCCCGTGGTGTCAAACCAAAGTGCTGACTGCCTTATTGGGCCAATATTGCTGTGAGAATGAACTGGGCTGCAGAGACTTTGCAAAGACGGCAATCTAGCTCCCACCTCCTAGCATCCCCAACCCCCTCGGAAAATGAGGATTGTTTTCATATGTCTTCCCTATAGCAGCGATTTGAAGATAAATTGGCAGAACGATTTGTTCACACAGAAGAGGAGATGACTTCTTTGTTATCTCATTTGTATGGACCAAAATATAAACAAGAAAAAAAAATGCAGAGTCATTAAGTGTTTACTATTGTGTAGAGTGTTAATCAAAACCCAGAATATATTAAGAAAGAGGGAGCAATAAGTGTGTAACTGCTACCATTAGACCCCTGCAGGGGCAATGGGTCATACTGACTTCGATTAAAAAGGAAGTTTGGGCGCATGGCTATTTGTGAGTGTGGAGAGCAAATTTCCAAGCCCAAGTGTGATTGTTGTTTTTCCACACAGAGCCAATTTGCACTTTTAAATAATACTCTCACCTCTGCTATAATTTCAATGTACCTGTTCACAATATCACCTGTACAAACTAGCATTACATAAAGGGCATATGTAGAGGTTGAGGTTGAAAGCCCATTAGTACAATCTCTTCTCAAGATGCCTACAATATACCACCAGCCATTTACAAAATATCTCCCTATGGCACTGACTTGCTGAGGTCCTCCACCTTTCTGAGGTTCACAATTAAAATGGGTTAATTGAAGATGCTAATTAGAAACATGAGGTGCCAAACAGCAAGGGAGCCAAAAGGCAGGGCGCGGTATATATTTTTAGGGAATATTATTATTATGGGAAGACACATTAATAACACACTTCCCTGGGGAAAGAAAAAAAATAACCTTGAGGAGAAAAAAAAAAGAAAACTATTGTGCAGGAGCTTACCATACCACCTGTTATTGCAAGGTGATTGAAACTGATGTCTGTGCATTGGCTCCTTTTGAAGATAGCCAGGAGATTGATGGCTGCCTCCCAAAGCCCCTCAAACAGCTTTAGCAGTAAACAGAGTCCATCTTCCAAACTGCCACCACGACAGATGAATCAACGCTTGCATGGTGATTAATAACTGCATTTCAGCAGAGAGATTTTCACCCTTTCTCACATATGCACATTGTTACCAACAGTCAACAGTCAGTTTTAATTGCATGTAATTTTTCCATAACCACTTTTACATTTGTTAAATATGCTTTTTGCGTTATATGTACATACAAAATAAGTGAAATCCTGAGTCATCCACACATTATTGTGTGACATTGGTATGTCATATAAAAATTCTTGAAAAAAATGCTAAATTTATTTTTATTTACCATTATTTATCCAGGCAAGTCCCATTGAAATCACATATCTCCTTTTCAAGGGAGGCCTGGGCCTGAAGACAATCTATTGTACATGTTTTTGAGTTGAGGGGAGAACTGGAGTACCCGGAGAAAACCCAGGCAAGCACAAGGAGGACATGCAAACTCTGAACAGAAAGACCCCAGGTCCAAACCTAAGTCCTGCTTACTGTGAGGTGTCGGTGCTAACCACTGACCCATTGTGCTGCCCATTGTAAAAAAAATGTTTTGAAAAAATAGTTTTAGTGAGTTTTCAAGCTGGAAAAGCTGTTCCTTTCCACATATGGAAAGTAACATCAAGACAGATACAGATTTAAAATGCACATCAACTTATGTTTCTCATGTATTGATATATGATAAAAGAACATCATTCTTGCATGCAACAGGTGGAAAGGATTGAGTTGGAGTATGCCGTCTCGTGGTGCTGCAGCTTTATATAACTAAGGTTACGTTCACACTGCAGGCAAATGCGACCCAAATCTGATTTTTTTTAAAATGTCAACCAGCTTTGTAAGCTTTGAAGAGACAATGTCATCCAAGAGAATGANTTTTATTACAGTCTGAACGCGACAAATCCTATTTTTTTTTTTTTCAAATCCGACCCAGGCCGTTTCAGTATGTGGTTTTAAATCGGATACATATCTGATGTTTCGAAGCGACTGCAGTGTGAACGCTCATGTCACATTCCATCTGACTTCTTCATCAGTGAGGATCGATAAGACACTCACCTCAAGTCAAGAAGAATGGAATGGATGAAGAGAAAAATACCATTAAATACCTTGATATTGGTATTGTTACCATAATTGATAGTGTAGTTGTTGATACCGTAATTGTTAAAAATACCATGATACAACATTTGGGTAATACTGCATAGCACTGATATTGTCATCCTCTCTTGGGTTTCACCCCCCACCCCCACCTCTGTTGAATTAAAAAAAAAAATCAGCTTTATTGCAGTAAAGCCCGGAGTTATTTATCTAATATATAAAAAAATCTACAGTAAGAAGAACAAAAACATGCAACATTTGAACAGAGTTCAGGGCACGTCGCTCAGTTCTCCATCCTCACAGAGTCATTATCATCTGCTGAACCCCCTTTAACTGTTGCATGCTTTTCTTCTTACTATAGATTTTTATATGTTCGGGCTGTGTTGGGACAATTTTTTTTTATTCAGCAGAGCAGTTGGAGGCATTTTACTGCAGCCACCAGCATCAAATATGATCAGCACAATTTAAAAACTGGGGAATAGTTTAAAATTTGTTTGACATAAATTGAAATACAGTCTCACACCGGTTAGCGACTGAAACTTATTGTGTGATGTGAAATATGCCAGAGTGTCCATGAATTCCAGTGAGTTTATTAGCAAATGGTCTTTAAAAACTGATTTTTTTTCTTTAATTGAACATTTATTTTATTGTAAAAACTAGCATATAGCAGTTGAAGTTTTGAAGCCAGGAAGGTCGATCCAGGACAGTCTCTGCTGGAGCTGTTGTCTTCTTGCTTTCGTAGTGGTTTGTAGGTCTAGGAGTCAGAAGCTTCTTATTGATCAGTAACTTCACTACACTCAGTTCTACTTTGTTCTTCAGCACTTGCAAATAAATCATAGATACCCACTAAATAACTTTCTCCACTTAAATTGACCTCACTCCTTAGTCCTCCATCATGAAAATGTCCTGCCTGTACTTCCTTCTCTGACGTCATCTGCCTTCGTCATACTTTGGCAGGGTGCTCTGTTTTTTTATGACTGTGTCGTTATTTATTTATGTATTTATTAATTTATTTATTTATTTATTTATTTATTTTTTACAACTGCCTAGCCCAAAAGTGGAAAGTACACATAGTCATTGTAATCTACTATAGTGATTACTTGTTAAGGACACTTGTGACTGGTATGGTGGGTGTTGCACTGAAAAAAATAAATAAATACTGTATTTTTTATTCTTTTTTTTTTCTTGTCCTCTCCCCTCCTTGCAATGTTTTGCAAGGAAACAGCTATGTAGCCATTTTGGCACATTTGTGTTAACATTGTAACCTTGCACCCAATAGTACAAAACCTAAAACTGAAACTCTCACTAGTGCAGCACTCTTTCACTGCCCATCTTTATCCTGTATTGTAAACAAAATGTAGTTGTTGTATTTTTTTTACAAATACAATTATCTACCTCTTATTTTTTCCTTATGTTCATGTTACCATTTTTGTTCAGTTCAGAAATAAAATAGTATAAAATAATTTCTAAAAATACAATCCTAGAGAGCTTGAAAATTCTAAATGGGGTCCAAACAGTGTCTTAAAAAATCAGAGGTTGATTTCCTCAGTGTCTAGTTAAGTAAAATTTCAGTGCATGTGAAAGGCATTACATAACAATATTGTCAGCAGCAAAAATGTCTTGCCTTCCTGCAATTTCATTCCCAACAGATTTGACCTTTTGTAGTGAA